GGCGCTGTGGGTCAGAATGGACTCCACGGCAGTGGGTGTGGTTTGGGCTTTGCTTCTGTGAAGACTGACAGCCCTGGAGACCCTGTGGGCAGTTCCACTCTGTCCTCTAGGGGCGCTGTGGGTCAGAATCAACTCCATGGCAGTGGGGTTTGTTTTTTTGGGTTTTTTCTCTGCCTTTGCTACTCTTTTCATAGCTCAGAAGTGGTTGCCTTAAGGCCCTTCCTATACTGATAAGGCCCCATCAACATAACAAAGACCCCCAGCTCCCAAGTGGGGTGGCATCCACTGAACCTGGTGCTCTCTTGTGGATTCTGACTCCAGGCGACCATACAGGACAGAGTAGAACTTCCCCACAGGATTACAAACAAAAACCAAACCCACTGCTGTCCAGTTGTATCTGACTCATGGCAACCTTGGGTTTCTGAGGAGGTATCACTATGGAAGTAGATTGCCCAACCTTCCTTCCAAGGAGTGGCTGGTGGGGTTGAATGGCCAGCCGCAGGGTTAGGGCTTAGGATTTATGGCTTACATTCTGGGGGACCCAGTTGAATCCTGTCCTCCCTGCCGAGGGGGGTGACAGAGCCCTCCCATGCTGGTCCTCAGCACTTCTGCAGTATGCTGACGGAGGTGATGTGGGTTACACACGGCCTGCCCGCCTGTGGCGGGTAGGGTGTAGGACTCTGCATTGAAGGAGAAGCCCCTGCCCAGAGAATCAGGTGGCAGGGCCCATCATCAGTGGACCCTGTGTTGGATGGGGTGGGGCTGCCTTGCACTCTGTCCTGTACCCAACAGCCTGCTGCGTAGCTGCTGGTGTTGGCCTGGCCGTTGGTGACAGGTGGTCCTGTTTGCCCCAGCCCCTCAGCCCCTTTTCTTGCCCTGCTGTTACAAGCCCATGTTGTATTCATCCCCACGACCCCACCCTGTGACTGGTTGGGCTTGGGTAAAGACTGACAGCCTTGGAAACCCTCTGGGGCAATTCCACTCTGTCATCTAGTGGTTCTTTGGGTCAGAATGACTCCAGGCAGTGGGTGTGGTTGGGGCTTTGCTTCTATGAAGA